ATATATTTTTATACTTTTAGATTTGCATTTTTATACTTTTTTACAATGTACCTGTAAACAATTTTTAATTTTGCTAGAAATTATCGTCTTCAAATTATATGTTAGATTAAGGACCTGCCCGAAACGTTATGCGAGCTAGTAGCTTTACAAGAAAGTAAAACTTCAATGCTCTGTACTCTCATAAACCCAATGTACCTTCTTGTATATAAATAAATAAATAAATAAATATGAAGAAACAAGAGTACAGGCGAGGCGTCGCTGGCACAACGGACCGCCTCAGGCTAAGGACGTACACGCAGATAATATACTAATAAAAGATACAACTGTTATACATACAATAACAACACAAGCTGAGAACTCTGCAGGCAGTTATGGGTCGAGTCTCAATAACTATACTTCGCTGCAAACACAAAAAGATGAGAAATAGGCAACTACTCGCATCCTTATCCATCAAGATGGTTTGAGTGGTGTCAAACTCTAAATGAACATAGTAGTCTTGGCAAGATATGGGGTCAGATTAAAACTATATCAGATCGACCAGCCCGACCACTGGCATGTATTCAACCATTACAGGAGGCTGAGAGGCTTGCTCTCCAATTTGCAGAAAGAGCGGCTTCATATAAGCTTCCTGCAATGATCAGAAAGCAGCAAGAACAATTAAAACAAGAGAGGTTGACAGTCATTCATGAGAGCATAGCTACAAATGACGAATGTGACTGTCCCTTCACCAAACAAGAACTAATCAGAGCCAAAAAAGGTGGTAAGGACACTGCACCAGGTGCTGATAACATTACATACTCAATGGTCGCACACGCAGGTCGTGCTGGAGAACAAGGTATATTGGACGTCATCAATGCATCTTGGCAGCAAGGCAAACTACCGACCTCTTGGAAGAAAGCAGACATCATTCCAATTCCTAAGCCGAAAGAACCTGGCAATTACAGACCCATTTCATTTACATCATGCATTAGTAAACTGCAGAACGGATGGTCTTAAATAGGCTACTGTGGAAGACTGGAGACCTGCATAAACACATATTTGGCTTCACTAGAGGAGTAGGTACTGCCAACTGCATAACAACATTACTAGGAACTGTTAACTCAGGTCCAGCTATAGTGATCTTCCTTGATCTAGAAAAAGCATTCGAACTTGCAAGCCCGCAAGCAATTTTACACACCTTAGTTAAAAGAGGTGTAAAGGGAAATATACTAGGATGGATTCAAGATTACCTACGTCACATGTATGCCAGAGTAAAATTGCAAGGGCATGTGTCGGACTACCACTTGCATGAGAATGGGACTCCACAAGGAGGAGTCCTAAGTCCTAGTCTTTTTTAACATCCTTATGGAAAATCTCGTTACCATGAGATTTGCAGAAGGGGGTTAAATTGATGAGCTATGCTGATGATATAGCATTAGTCATTACAGGTCTTTCACTTCTGAATAAAACACAAGGTGCGTTAAATTAAGTAACATCTGAATGCAGCAGTTTAGGGCTAAAAATATCTGCACAGAAGTCTAAGGCAATGAGACTAGGTGGCAACACACCAGACAGGCACCTACGCATTCAAGACATTAACCTTCAGTGGGTTACACAATATCAATATCTCGGAGTGTGGATAGATTCTAAAATGACATTTAACAAGCAAATTCAATATCTAAAGGAGAAAGCAAAATCACGACTGAATATAATAAGAGCAATCACAGGGCCCAATCTAGGAGTGGGTCACAAAGCGATAAGAATGTTTTACATACACGCCGTTCGTTACCTAGTTGATTATGAAGCACCTGCCTTACTCACTCTTTCTCCTGGTCAGTGGGCAAACGTTGAGGTTATTCAAAATGATGCAATGTGAGTCATAAAAGGGGCTCCCAGATGGACTAAAATACTGAACCTAAGACTAGAAATCAAGCTAACGTCGATTGAAATAAGGGTAAAAAGGATTGCTGCGTGCATGCTGACCAAGATATTGACAAGACCTAGAATCAGTTCACTTAAAGATAAAATCACTGGAGCACTAACTCTGGACAGAAGAGCCTCCAATAGCAACAAGTGGACCCATTGTGCGATAAACACCATTAATACATTCGATATAACAAACACAATCACTGAGAAGGGTGTCGCCGAAATACATGGACACTTTGTTATGCAAGCCCCTTGGGAATCTCCGCCAGCAGACTTTAAGATTATGGTTCTTGAAGGAAAAGAGAACCAGACTAATCCTCATCTGCTACGTAACATTGCACAGATGCATTTAGAAGCAAACTTGGCATCTGACAGCTTTACATACTTCACAGATGGATCAGTAGACCAGCAGGAACAAGAAACCAGAGCTGCAGTTAAAGCAGGAAACTCTGTAAATAGTTGGAGACTTTCAAATGGGTGTTCGACTTTACAGAGATGCTAGCCATTCAAAAGGCTTTGGAACATGCTCTTACTGAACACCGACAACATGTTATCATACATACAGATTTGAGAACTACCACTGAAACCTTGCAACAAGAACACATGCGTGATAACATCCATCTGATCACAAATGTCATATCTTTAATGCAAACACTCAAACTACAAGACCGTCGGGTACTTATCAACTGGGTGCCAAGTCATGTGAGAATAATAGGAAATGACATTGCAGACGAAGCTGCAAAACTTGCAACTAAGAGAAGAAATGTTGACATTTACATACCACAGAGTCTATCACAAATTAAGAAAATAATTAGAAACAGAGCAATGCAAAAGATGTACAGTGACCACAACACAGCAGTTGCAACATCAGAATCTGCGGGTTGGTACAAGAATTCAACCAACTTCGAACCACTTAGTTTGATGAAAGGGAGCAGTAGAACAACAGAAGTACACTTACATCGCATCAGGCTTGGATACCCATGTGCATAGGAAATAGGCTTACAGGTTCCGGAAGATGAAAGGAAATGTGGAGATGAAATGTACTGTGGAGAAATGCCCACAGGAATGGTGAACAGACCACTGGAACATTATCTAACACGAGCAGAGTTACAAACCCATTAAGATTTCGACTTAGATTCAACAGAGCAGAAGTTGTTAAAACACGTGGGACAAAATCTTACTGAAGCGACCATACAAATCATAGATACTCATACTCCGCCCAAGTAAAACAGAAAGAAACAAAACTTAATGGGCCAGCCAGAGGCTAAAGGCGTGCGCAGGAAAATCCCTGAAAAAAATCTATATTCGTAAGGATATAATTGTCTTCACTCCCACCCTTCTCCTTATTTGTTGATGCCCTTTCCAAACATGCAGTTGGTTGTATGGCGCTAAATGAAGAGCTTAATATCTCTATTATATATTGTTATTTTGTATTTTATTCGAATATTTAAAAGTAAATACAATAGGCTTTCTAGAATTCTTTTGTGCAAATGGTATCTTGCAGAACCAATACTAACTTACATGCAAATTTCTTAATGAAACAGTTAAACTAGTAACGTAAAATTATTCTATATCTTAATTCAAGCGTTCTCTCAGTGAACTAATATAACTTATAACAGTCAACAAAGCATCTTGAGGACACTAATACTAAAAAAGTACATGATAGACTTTACATCAATAATTTACTATACTATTATGCCAGAAAACCTTGTTGGTGGTTAACTTAACAGTCTCAAAAGTCTCCTCGATGCTGCAGCTTTTTTATCTACACCAGCGCACCTGCAAGTGTCTCAGGAAGGCTGTTCCCCCAGCAGACTCCTCAATAGACAGCTCCTCTACACCGGCGTGGCTGCAGCCTACACGTGTCTCATGAAGGCTGCACCGACTAAATGTAAACTTCGTTAGGTGCCTTAATCTCACATAACACATCATTATGGTGTGATTTCGTTTTCCGTTGTCAGGAAGACGACGCTTGTTCAGCTTTTCGAGATGCCCCACCTTGCACAAGGCAATGATTTGTTCACGTTCATCCAATCAACTGTTAGCCATATACAATGTAACCTATTTTTTTTTTAGTTGCAACTTAATTGTATTCATTTGCTTCGCTAAGAAAATATTGGGTCCAGCTCCTGGCCCCCAGTAATGTGCATTACAGAAGGTATTAAATCGGTTGCACCAATCGATTTAATACTTAATAATATTGTACCAATTAGTAACATTATATTATATATTATACTTAATAATATTGCACTAATTAATAATATTGATTGGTACAATTAAATACAGTTGCAATACCGTATTCATGGTGAGTGATGTGAACTTTGGGTTTTATGTAAATGTAATGGAGCCTGGGGATAAGAGGAGGATGAGTTGAGGGCGTGGACTGAGGGCGAGGTGAAGTGGGGGTTAAGGGTGTAGGGAAGAGGAAGGGATTGAGGGGTGTAGGGTGAGGGGAGATGATAGTGTGAGGGGAGTAGATGGGTTGTGAGGAGAGGATGAGATTATGAGCTTGAGGTGAGGTACAGGATGTGACTGTTAGTTTTTCTCCTCAGTATTCACATTTCCTGAACACTGTAAATTACTGGATTACGTACCACTATCTCCCACCTTTAACATTCACAGCTTCAGCTTAATTTCCGGTAGAAAGTTTAATGTTAGAGGAACCTTAAGTTTCGAGAGAAAAGTAACCTTAGATTATAATGTGTATTTTTAGTTATGAAGTTTAAAAACCTGTGACTAGAGTTTAAGCGTCGCTGCCCACGTCGAGGATAATATAGCCACTTCCGCAAGACCCCTGACGAAGGCCTCGCTGGGTCCTGTCGCTCACCCAGTGGTATTTATTTATTTATTTATTTAATTAATTATTTATTTATAATAAGACAAGACGAAGAAAAATTAATAATTATTAATTAATTTAAGGATATCATTTTAGCCGTAGCAATAGTCTAAATAGAGTTCCAGTTTTCAATTTAGAATTCTATTTCCTTGCTAGAGCCATGCGCCTGGATCTAGCAAAGATGCCAATTAATACTCACCATCATGCTACGATCACCCACATTGTGGACGCGGGGCCAGCGTGGCAGAGCGCACAAGGTGGACCGGAACTATAGTGGTCAGGTGAGAGGGGAGGAGGGGCACTCACAAGGCCACTGCCTCTCACCTCTCTACAAAAGCAGTATCAGACGGTGTTGGGATTAGTTAGTTCTGGTGCAGCTGTGAGAGAGGTGAGTGCTCGCAGAGGGAAGAATAGCCTAGTGCATGTCGGGGAACTGCCGCTCCGAAATGTGAAATATAATATTTTAAGTAAATTTGTGTAACGGTGGAAATTCAAAGTCTTAAGCATTGCACTTGGGATGTTTACTGATCTGTGAATGTTAAATGGCCGTATCATAATGTTCTTGGCCTGAAGCAAGACTCTCCAAGTGATGTGGGCAGTCATTGCTTCTTAATTTATCAAAACATGCACTTACAGTCCCAATCTTTTATTTTGTACTCGATAGGTTATGTATTCTCTTCCTTCATTCTTGTATGACTTCGTTACAGATGAGGGTAGCGTGTTTGCTGGTTGTGGTGGCTAGTGTTGTTGTGGCGGATGACGACCAGGATGCATCGAACAGCACCGTCGTGGACACTCAGGGCGCAGGCGCCCCCCAGGGACGGTCAGGCGGGGTTGGACAACAAGACACCAGATTTTTGGACCTAGGCTCCCTCGTAGGAGGAGTTCTATCAGGCGGCCGAAATTCTAACTTTGGTGGAAATGGCTTCGGCGGAAGTCAATTCGGTGATGGTTTCGGCGGCCGTCCGTTTGGGGGTGGATTCGGCAGCAGACCAATTGGAGGTTTCGGTGGGCGTCCATTTGTGAGTGGCTTTGGCGGGCGTCCAAATGGGGGCGGATTCGGTGGACGTCCCTTTAGACCTGGCTTTGGTGGACAACCCGGCGGTTTTGGTGGACAACCCGGCGGTTTTGGTGGACAGCCTGGCGGCTTTGGTGGACAACCTGGTGGCTTTGGTGGACAACCCGGAGGCTTTGGTGGTCAGCCTGGCGGTTTTGGTGGACAACCTGGCGGCTTTGGTGGACAATCCGGCGGCTTTGGTGGGCAACCTGGCGGCTTCGGTGGACAGCCTGGTGGGTTTGGAGGACAACTCGGAGGCTTTGGCGGACGGCCAGGAGGCTTCGGTGGTGCTGGTTTCAACCAGTTTGGTGGCGGCTTCAACAACCAATTTGGGGGTGGTTTGAATAGTCAGTTCGGTACTGACTTGAATAGCAATAATGTTGGCATCGGAGGCCAGGTCGGAAGTAAGCCTGGCCAGTGCCCGCCTGTACGTCAAGGGTGTCCCCCCACCAGGAGCTTCCAGGCCCCACTGCCTTGTGAAAGCGACAGTGCTTGCAGCGGCCTCGATAAGTGCTGCTTCGACATCTGCCTGCAGCTGGAGGTGTGCAAACCCTCACAAGCCAACACCGGATTTGGCAGGTGAAATTTTTCAATTATTAATATTATTATTACAGTATTATTATTATTATTAATTATTATTTTCTACTCGACAACGTGTAATAAAATTTAAAAATACTTCCATGTTTAATATTCCCATTGAATTTATATGCATTAATTATTATACAATAATATTTTTATATATAATGGTAACAAAAGAAAGATGCGAGTAATATATGTTAGTAACAAGAGGGATAAAGGTATATATGAAGCTGCATGTTGTAACAGGAGACAAAGATACAAGTGGACCTGTATGTGAGTAGCAGGAGATTGAATATGCAAGTGAAGCTGCATGCTTAACAGGAGAGATGCAAGTGAAGCTGCATGCTTAACAGCAGAGATGCAAGTGAAGCTGCATGCTTAACAGCAGAGATGCAAGTGAAGCTGCATGCTTAACAGGAGAAATGCAAGTGAAGCTGCATGTTTTACAGGAGAGATGCATGTGAAGCTGCATGCTTTACAGGAGAGATGCAAGTGAAGCTGCATGCTTAACAGGAGAAATGCAAGTGAAGCTGCATGCTTAACAGGAGAAATGCAAGTGAAGCTGCATGCTTAACAGGAGAGATGCAAGTGAAGCTGAATGTCAGAAATAAGATAAATACAAGTGAAGCTGCATTTCAGTAACAGGAGAGATGCCTACATATAAGTAACAGGAGAAATACCTGCATATAAGTAACAGGAGAAATGCCAGTATATTATAACAGCTTGATGATTAAATGCAACCTCAGAATACTGAAAAAAAAGTTGTACCACTCACGGGCTATTCATGCCCGTGCCACCTCTTGGGTGGCTTAATTTTTATCAATCAATCAGTATATTAGCAGTCCCCGTGGCGTAGTGGTAAGACAGTCGCCTGGCGTTTCGCGAGCGCCTTTGGCCTTGGGTTCGTATATCCTGGCCGGGGAGGATGAACTGGGCGCCGATCCTTAACTGTAGCCTCTGTTTACCCAACAGTAAAATGGGTACCTGGTTGTTAAACGATCTGGCGGGTCGTATTCCGGGTAATATTTGGATTGGACTTGCCCGAAACGCTATGCGTGCTAGTGGCTGTACATGAATGCAAGAATTCTTGTATAAATAAATAAATAAATAAAAGTAACAGGAGAACTGCTTACATGTTAGTAACAGGAGAAATACTTACTTATTAGTAACAGAAGAAATACCTGTTTATTAGTAACAGGAGAGATGCAAGTGAAGCTATATGTTAGTAACAAAAGAAAGATGCTAGTGAAACTGCTTGATTTTTCTTTTTTATTGTTGCCGCCGAAGGCGGCAACAATAAAAAAGGGTTTATAGGTTTCAGGAGGAAAGGGTTTATACTTTCAGGAGGAGGGTTTATAGCAAAAATATGCCAGTTACTGAAAGCGACGGTGGGTCACATTTTGCCCAAACCCCCCTGCAGTTTTCAAAATATCCCAAACATCCCAAATTCGATACCTGAGCCATATTTTGGACCCAAATTCTGGCTCTCTGCACCTATTCGCAGTTTGAAATTCCGACTTTTTATACCAAAAATATGCCAATTACTGATAGCAGCGGTGTGTCACATTTTGCCCAACCCCTCCTGCAGTTTTCAAAATATCCCAAACATCCCAAATTCTATACCGGAGCCATATTTTGGACCCAAATTCTGGCTCTCTACACCTATTCGCAGTTTGAAATTCCGAATTTTTATACCGAAAATATGCCAATTACTGAAAGCGGCAGTGGGTCACATTTTGCCCAAACCCCCCTGCAGTTTTCAAAATATCCCAAACATCCCAAATTCGATACCTGAGCCATATTCTGGCTCTCTGCACCTATTCGCAGTTTGAAATTCAGACTTTTTATACCAAAAATATGCCAATTACTGAAAGCGGCAGTAGGTCACATTTTGCCCAAACCCCCCTTGCAGTTTTTAAAATATCCCAAACATCCCAAATTCGATACCTAAGCCACATTTTGGACCCAAATTTTGGCTATCTGCACCTATTGCAGTTTGAAATTTCGACATTTTATACCAAAAATATGCCAATTACTAAAAGCGGCGGTGGGTCACATTTTGCCCAAACCCTCCTGCAGTTTTCAAAATATCCCAAACATCCCAAATTCGATACCTAAGCCACATTTTGGACCCAAATTCTGGCTCTCTGCACCTATTCGCAGTTTGAAATTCCGACTTTTTATACCAAAAATATGCCAATTACTGAAAGCGGCGGTGGGTCACATTTTGCCTAAACCCCCCTGCAGTTTTCAAAATATCCCAAACATTCCAAATTCGATACCTGAGCCATATTTTGGACCCAAATTCTGGCTCTCTGCACCTATTCGCAGTTTGAAATTCCGAAATTTTATACCAAAAATCTGCCAATTACTGAAAGCGGCGGTGGGTCACATTTTGCCCAAACCCAACTGCAGTTTTCAAAATATCCCAAACATCCCAAATTCGATACCAGATTTAAATTCGGGTTGCAGCCATAATAATTGAAAACTAGCAACATTTGGCAACTATGTCTAGTGTCTTACGCAATAACGCCAACTCGTGCTTCAGTCCTCATTATATCATGTTATTCTCCTCTCATAACGTAACACAACAGAGAACCTAGAACAGAGAAAAGAACAGAAAACCAAGAATATACGAGAGAACAGAACAGAGAACATTGAACTGAACAAAGAAGAGAACAGAGAACACAACAGAAAACAGAACAGAAAACAGAATAGAACAGAGACCAGAAAAGAGAACAGAACAGAGAACATAGAACTGAGCAGGGAACAGAGAACGGAGCAGAACAGAGAACAGAACAAGGAACCGAACAGAGAACAGGACAGGGAATAGAAAGGACAACAGAACAGAGAACTGAGCAGAAAACAGAGAACGTAACCGAACAGAACAGATAATGGAACAGAGAACATAGAACCGAACATAGAACCGAACAGAGAACAGAACAGTGAACAGAACAGAAAGCAGAATAGAGAACAGAATAGAGAACAGAACAGAGAATAACATATATAACGTTATTCTCCCCAAAATGACTAATTAGAATTAAATGATGAGAATGTATTATTTACTACAAGATCTTAATTATTCAAGACGACTGATGACAACATCGCGTTAATGTATAAAACACTACTCCATATGTCAAGTTTATTATTTAATATCCGTTGCAGGGAGCATTCATTGCCCAAATCAAGTCAATAAATATAGGTTGGTGATGTTTAGAGAGGTAAATGAAGGGTTGCAACGCTAATTAAGCAACTAGCAAGCTTGCAAGTTGACGAGCAAAGGTTGGTTGTTGTGTTGCCAAGTACCACCATTGCAGCAAGCCTCTCCCACCTCATCTCACGGGAAATTTGGGCGTTTTTAAGCTAAGGTACATTCAGCCAAGGGTTAGTTTTGTAGATAAGTCGTCAGTGTTATATATTGGCTATATTTGCCCCCCGTCCAGTGGGCAGCGGTGGATAGGTTACACCGCTTGTCGCATCCAGTGGGCAGCGGTGGATAGGTCACACCGCCCCCCGCATCCAGTGGGCAGCGGTGGATAGGTTACACCCCCCCCCCATCCAGTGGACAGCGGTGGATAGGTCACACCGCCCCCCGCATCCAGTGGGCAGCGGTGGATAGATTACACCCCCCCCCATCCAGTGGGCAGCGGTGGATAGGTTACACCCCCCCATCCAGTGGGCAGCGGTGGATAGGTTACACCCCCCCCATCCAGTGGGCAGCGGTGGATAGGTTACACCCCCCCCCGTCCAGTGGGCAGCGGTGGATAGGTCACACCGCCCCCCGCATCCAGTGGGCAGCGGTGGATAGGTTACACCCCACCCCATCCAGTGGGCAGCGGTGGATAGGTTACACCCCCCCCCACCCATCCAGTGGGCAGCGGTGGATAGGTTACACCCCCCCCCCACCCATCCAGTGGGCAGCGGTGGATAGGTTACACCCCCCATCCAAAGGGCAGCGGTGGATAGGTTACACCCCCCCCCCATCCAGTGAGCAGCGGTGGATAGGTTACACCGCCCCCCCCCCTCCAGTGAGCAGCGGTGGATAGGTTACACCCCCCCCCCTATCCAGTGGGCAGCAGTTGATAGGTTTTCAAGTGTGGGGCCTCACTCCCCCTGATCGTCCCTCACTTACCTGACACCTCAACTGTCCCGAGGACCTGAGTAGGTTAGGTGCGCCGGGGGCACCGTCCGAAGGTTTTACTGAGACGGGGCTATTACCGGGAGAAGTTGCATTTGCCAGACAGGTCCAGGGGTGCTGCATCTCGGAGCCCCGCGAGTGGCATGTCTACATAGGACTGGGTAGTTTAACCCGACGTCGCTGGAGTATGTGTTCCTGGACTGTCATCTGCCACTTGGGGGGGTGGGGAGTCCTGGGAGCACTGTGTAAGGGGGGAACCTGTGGGCACTTCACCGTGAGGTCTAGGGAGCACTGTGTCATCACCGAGTATAGGAGCACTTCACTGTTAAGTGCCAGGGGAGCTGTGTCGGGTGGGGCCCGTCGGCGCTCGGTGTTTACACCTTAGTTGAGGGTCACTCCGTGTGGTGGCGTTCAGGTTCTCCTGCGCCTCACCAGGGGGTGCTGTAGATTTCTTTCAACTTGGGATCCTATCTGAACGTGGGTTCTAATGCTGCGGGAACCCAGGAGAGGATGGGTTCAGTATCCCTAACTTGCTGTGGTATTTCTGCGAAAACTGCTGCTTGGTTGTTCACCGCTCGTTAAAGTTTCCGGGAATGGCATCGTTACACACTCGCGTCTCATTAGATGGGGGAGGCTAGCAGGAAAACTGTTTCGCCTACGACTGACAGCCTTGGACGAGATCCCCACAAAGGCAACAAACTATGCCTATTGTCCCAGTAACAGCATTTGTTCCAGTAAGAGAATTGTTTCTCTAGGTCGCTCAGCACTGATGTCTAGCCCCCACGAGACGGCTACCGGACGACGAGATCACCTGAGACCCGAGATGGCGGACTGAAGCCCATCTCACCTGACCCCCGTGCACCTCGTCCTCCGGATGAAACTGCCTAAACAAGTTAGGCACCCGGAGAATTGCAGAGGGCACCCAGCAACAACGGTCTCTCATAGGAGCCGGTCGGCC